GAAGGTGAAATACCATAAATGATTAGCACACGTTTGGTCAAAGGATGGGCTTCACTTGTCCATTTGACAAGTTGTAATATGATGCTACGAATGGAGAGACTCACTGACGATGCCGGCGAAACGTTTAGGAATGTACCGCGCCCTCGGTCCGACTTTGGGAATAATTATGCATACAATTGACTCATGACTAGGCGCGTTCCAATGGGTCTTCCTACCAATATGACCAAGTTGCTAAAACAAGGTCAAACAACTTCTATATAATGGAAGGAGACCGCGGCCACAAAAAAGACCACACCATCTTGGTCTTTATACCTTCGATTAACTAGCTTCCGCCTCTCAGTCTCGTGACTTTCCTCTACTTTCTGAATGGAGGTGTAATAAAGTATTTCAGTAACTGTCAGAATGATACTTCTTAATTAAATGCAGAATCGGGAAGCGATATCATAATATTAGCACCAATTCCAAAAAGGCCAAATGGCATAATTGACTTACAAATGTCTTCTTTGTTCGGATGTAATTAATGTTTTGTTTGGCAATATTAGATTAATCCATAGATTAGTCGAAAGTATCAAGACCAAGATGGTGAATAGGCCAGGACAGAAGGTGAGATACGATAACTCTTTAGCACACGTCTGGTTAAAGGGTGGGCTTAACTTGTCTATTTGACGAGTTGTATTATGATGCTACGAGTGGCGAGACTAACTGACGATGCCGACTACGATTCCGGCGAAACGTTTGGAAATGTACCGCGTCCACGGTCCGACTTAGGAAATAATTATGCATACAATGGGCTTTCCATAGGTCTTCCTACCAATATGACCAAGTTGCGAAAACAAGATAAAATAACTTCTTAAAGGTTTTGTCTTTATCTGCCCTTTTGGACTTACTTTCATTTATATTAAGATAGTTTTGTGAAGAGCTTAGAATGCCGATCTCACCACAAGACGACGGCTGATTCCTCTTTATCAGTTGTCACTTGGCTTTACTGGAGCATTTTTGTTGACGCTGTTTTCCAGGCGAATTTCTATTCCAGGGAAAACGTGCTAAATTTTGGTCCATCATATGACGGACATCGTCATAGCTGGGTATCATTGATACAACAATATTCAGTCCAATGAACTGAGAAAACGGATGATATTCGTCATATATTGGATGAAAGTTCAGCACGTTTTTACCGGAATTGAAGGCATTCGTCTCGGAAAAAGTGTCAACAAGAATGCTCTAGTAAGGCCAATCGTATGCTGGTCAAAAGGAATTCATCGTCATCTGGGTGGGATCGACCTTCGAATCTCTTCACCAAATACCCTCACTCGAAATTGAAGTTTAACAATTATGAACCAAACGATTTCTCTAACCTAAATTTTATCCGCATTTATTTTGTCTACTTTTATTTGTTGCCCTCAACAGTTTTGCATTTTTATTATTCCTTATTTAAACTTTACATGATTGAAAATTATGAATTTTTACTAACGACTATCTGCCTGGTCACATTTATTTCCTTTAGACTGGCGCAGCGCCTTCTTCCCTTATCTGATCTTAAAGCGAAAGTCGAAGAGCTGAAAAATGATAACAATCTTCTTGTCAAGCAAAATTCGAAGCTTCGCGCTGAGGTAAGCATACTCGAGTATAATTTCCCTTTCAGATTATTGCATTATTCAGTTTATAAATTATAATCTTTAATTGAGGTAAATCTGTTTGCTTCATTTGACCTTAAAGCTTACATTTCACTATAAATTTTGTTAAGGATTCTGGCTTTACTGATCTGGGATTGGTTACCTTCTTTAAATGTGAATTTGCGTCATCAATTCAATTGAATTCCACTCTCTGCTTGTTCATTTTTCCATAAGGTCCATTTATTGGTAGTGGGCTCCGAACATTTCCCTTACTTTTTTAACTACACACCGATTATAGGGGATGCTGCCTGTATCTTCTCATCCATTTTCGACTTCAGTATCAGCTTCGCATATATCTCATCAGTACTCCTAATCACATTTGGTCTATGATTGTGCTGCGTTTAATCTTGAGAGGTTACCTCTAGACTACACGGCTGCGAAAGCTCATAGGTCACAGGCTGGATTTGAATTTCAGGGAAGGCCATGCATTTCCGTATGACAATTGATATAGCATACGTGCATAATGTAACAGTGAAAGCTAGAGATGGTTGGCTAACAATAGTCGTGATTCAAAGATCACGTTAATGATCAAAAACGTATATTGTTAGCCAAACAGCTTTAGTCTCCACCGTGTTTTTCCCTATTTATATCTGTAATACTATGACTATCACTTCCTATGTCCTAGTCTCTTATGTGCTAACCCACAAACGCCATGGTTCTACTTGTTTTGATAAGACTTACTGTAGACGTATCCTCTTGGTTTCTGACTCTTTTTTTTAACCCCCCTGAGATCTCTTTTCCTAAAATTAAGGATATTGCCTTGATCCAGTCGTCTTCTTTTTGCTAATCTTCCTGTTGCATGGTCTTCTCCGAGTTTGTTTAGGCAATATGCAAAGTTTTCGCTGATCCTGCCTTCTTCAAGTCTCCTGTCTATTAGATTCCTCTCGGTCAGTATGTCAATGGCCTCTCGGATCTTGCGTTTTCTTGTATTTTCACCGTATCCAGCCAACCTATCCGTCGATATCCAGTCGATTTCATGCCCTATCCGTGCAATGTGTTCCGCTATTTCTGATCTTTGTGTATCCATGTTCCTCAGAGTCTTTGATGTTCCTTGATTCGTAGGCCGATTTTTCGTTTCACCGATATACTTTTGCGCACAGTTTCCGCATTTGATGCGATAAACTCCCGAACATTCAAGTTTATCCGTCTTCTCGTGTTGTGTTGGCAAACCGGTAAAAAGTGTTTTCTTCTTTGTTATCACCTTGATATTCCATTTTCCCAATAAAGGTCGCAATTCTTTGCTCAGTTTTGATGAGGGCAAGCAGATTCACTTTTTGTTGTTATCCTGATTCCTGATCTGATTTTCATAAAATCCAAGTTGAAATCGGCCCTTTATAACCAATACATTTTTCTT